ATCTATCTATCTATCTATCTATCTATCTATCTATCTATCTATCTATCCATCTATCCATCTATCCATCTATCCATCCATCCATCCATCCATCCATCCATCCATCCATCCATCCATCCATCCATCAAGCCATCAAGCCATCCAGCCATCCAGCCATCCAGCCATCCAGCCATCCATTGTCTTTACCCATTTCTTCTTTTTCGAGTTGCAGGGGGTCACTGGTGCCCATATCCAGGTCGCAAGTCTATCACAGAAGACTGGATTCTTGTAAAGGGAAAAAAAAGTGTATTTTGCTATTTAAAAAAACAAACAAAAAAAAAACCAATGAACTCTGCAGGCTTATGCATTTTTTTAAAGTTGTGGAGTAATTGAGTATCCTACTTTGAATAAATGAAGCATAAAGTTCAAGTAAGTATAATTTACTCTGTGTATTAGTACTAGCAGGGCGGCTGTGGCTGAGTGGTTAGAGCAGTCATCCTCCAATGCAAGAGTTGGGGGTTCAAATCCACCAGCAGTCACATGCCTAAGTGTCCCTGGGCAAGACACTGAACCCTTCATTGCCTCTGATGTGTGTCCCATCAGTGTATGAATGTGATCTCAAAGCACTGATTAGTCGCTTTAGAATGATTTGTTCAATTAGCTTGGTAGAGATCTAGCAGAGTGCTGTATGAATGGGTAAATGAGGCACAGATTGTGGTGTAAAGAGCTTTGAGTGTCTGGATAAGATAGATAAGCGCTATATAAGTGCAGTCCATTTAGTATCCACATTTTTGCAAATGAAATGACAGGAAAACTGTTAAAACTAGTCATTTTTTGTTGTGGGTATAACATCCTATGAAATTCAGTTTTATGTTAGTTTTGATCAAAGCTTGAAAGAGCCACATGTGGCTCCAGAGCTGCAGGTTGCAGACCCTGATCTGGAAGGACCCCTGGCCTAGAGACCCCTGCTGTGTGATAGGTGGTGCAGGTTCGGGTGGGTTGGGTCCGAAAGGGGTGTTAATCCAATCCACCATCAGCAGTCATCACATCTGATCACCATTAACTTTAGTGTTGCTGCCTCCTAGTGGATCCATAGACTTTAACTGGTATTTGTGTTCTCATATTCAGGAGGGGTTTCATGCAGTTGTACAGTTTGTGTAGAGTTTAGAGATATCCAGGTTTCAAGGAAAAGACAGCCTTGTGATGGAGATTTCTTTTAGTCTGCAGGTGTCACCTTCAGCCATGAACCGTATGGACCACCGCTCTGCTCTGCACGGCAACATGGGAGAGTTGTCTCTGTTCAGACTGAACCTTCACTGAGAGCAGGTAGATGTTGCATGTGTTTAAATATTACTCATCTGTTCGTGCAGTCAGCTTGGTGCCTACATGTTCTTAAAAAGCACATTGTAATCCGACTAGACATTTTAAGTGCTCATCGTGTGTGTTTGTTTTTCTGTAAAGCTGAATGTCCGCTAAACCCCTAAATTAACAAGTTCTGTGCAACTGATCTACCAGTAGGCAGATCCGTACGCTGCGTTTAGTTCATGTACTGTAGTCTACTGTCCCAGCGCTCTAATATTTAGCTTTACATGTTGTTTTACAGATTATTCGGTAACACCTTTCCACAGGTTGTTGCCGTCACTGGGTTTGTTTTACACTTTAGTGAATGTATAAAGGAGCCTTTGTGGTGTAACGAGGATCTGGGGAATGAGAGGCAGGCGAGGTCAGAAGGGGGTGAAAGGTACAACAGATGGTGCTATGGGAGCTCAGCACTGATGAACAATAGGTAGGGGGGAAAAAACACTTAAAGCACTACAGCCTATACACTATCTTCAGTTTGACTCCACCGCAGCATGATATATGAGACTTAAATATTAAAAGATGGTAAGAAGAGTGGAAAAAATGATCTAAGTTTATCACAGCTGGAAGTTTGAAAAGAGTAAAAAAATGTTCTCTACAACCCAAAAAAGTCATTATCCAGCTTTGGTTCAAGATCTCACTAAATTGCAATTTAACTGTAATAAAAGATAACGTGAAACATGGAAGCAGTTTTTGACAAGCAGTGTATGCTGGAATGTCTGCCTGCTCGTGGCAGATGTTCAGATTTATTGTGAAACTCTTAATGTGATTATTTCTAATTGAAATCAGACTAAGGGTTGTTGCAAAACATGAATAAATAAAAAAAGTAGAAAAGAAATGAAACCAAGAAGAGAATGGTAAGAAATTTCATCTTCTATTTGAAATTTTTTAATACATCAAACTTAAAAAAAAATAAAAAAAACGTTCAGTCACACCTAGACTGACACGGGGCAGTGGTGCAGAGGTTAAAGGTGAGTCTGGAAGATGGTCGGTTCAACTTCCCAGACCGACAACATCAAAATGTAAATGTGGGTGGGGAAAGGTAAAACACCCACCCTGTCAAGTGTGCAGACTAGTACATATATAACTAACCAAAATAGTGCACTTATTAACATATATCAAAAAATTGTTAAAGAAAATGGGAGCTATTAGAGGAAACAGTTATTAGTAAAAACACAGAATAAATGCTTAAATGTCTTTCCATATTGCGTAACTCTGCTCCTTTATTTTCTTTATTTATTTAAACTTTTATTTGACCAGGAATAAAATCCACTGAGATTATTAATCTCTTTTACAAGGATGTCCTTGGATGGATGTTATTCATTTGTCCAGCCCAGTTGGGGGTCCTGTGTGTGTGTGTGTGGGGGGGGGGGGGGGGGGCTGTCTCAGCAGTGAACAGGTCAGGGGTATACCTTAGACATGTCTTCTGAACATTACAGAGACAACACAGAGACACTTGAGCCTAACAGCCCTGAACGCACACACCTGAGGAGTCTCCACCTGACCCGACCTGCATGTTTTCGGGTCTGTGAGAGGAAACCAACCTGGAGAAAACCCTCACGTACACGGGGGAGAACATGCAAACATGCAGAAAGATCACCTGAGTCCTTCTTGTTGTAAGGCGACAGCGCTGCCTGCCACATACCACACTGCTGCCAAGATAGTTCAACAGTTAACAAAATAAGATAACAACAACGCTGCACATGTTGGTGGTGGGCTCGACAGAAGTAGGTTTGAGAAAAGTCGAGGAGGCCAGTAAATAAACTTAGTTTAGTTAAGTTCTAGTTGGTGAAACAAGATTTTTTCATGATTAATTTACATGAAGTTTAAAAGGAAGATATAACAAATATGTAAATGTGATGCTTTTTGAGGAAGATCCTGAGCATCAGGAAACATCTAGGAAGGAAATCCTTCTTACAGGAACGGCTAAACAAAGATAGGAAGAGTGCCTAAAAAACAAACTAACCAACACGTCATGGTGAGATGGATGGACTAGTTTCCTCCTGACTTACTTTCATATTTATTCTGTTTCCTGGTAGTAAGGGTTGTTACGTTGGGGGTTCTTTCTGTGTCCCAAATTACCATTTACCACAAAAAGTGCCGTTAGAATAAACAAACCAATACCTTAATACTTCTAAAATACATTTCAGAAAAGTTTAAAGTGACTCGTTTTTTAGAAATCAAATTTTTTTTTAGTGCAAAACTTAAGCTGATAATAATGTCTTCATTTTACTGTGGTGGAAAAGTGTGAAACAACAGAACGTTACCAGTGAGCTCAGACAAAAACACGCTGCCTTCCTGGAAATATAAACTCTTTTATCAGTTCATTGTTGACTTCAACAATTAGCTCTGGTTTTGCTGTATAGTTTTTCATGTTACTCTTTGTAAGAGTTCAAAACAACATCCTGAAGTATAATTTACTGAGTTCCTAACTTCATGTTTAGGATATTCCTTCACTGATCTGGTTGGTCCTCAAAGGGGTGGCTAACAATACACCATTGTGTTATCGTCAGCCTTTAAACACCGACTAAATGATCGTCTGTCAGCTTTTTCTGCAACTTTTGTGCTCTGTTGATCAGCGGTGGGACAATTCAGAAATGTTGTTTCCTGCAAAAATGCAGCGTTGAATGTATTGCTGATTGATTTTTGCTGAAAGCTGTTGACAAAATTACAACCAGGCTGGAAAGGTCTTATCACTAAATTGTTAATGCGAGTTGAATTTGAACTGCTGATGTTTGCTGAAAACTAAAGCAGAAAAAAGTAGAAATGTAGCAGAAATGAGCAGAATAACTGAAATAGGCAGAGAGGGGGTGAATAAATGACATCAGAAATTAGCCAAGAAAGGTAGCTCCAAAAGCTAAAAAAAGAGATGAAATTTGTAGAATGACACTGAAAAGAGCATAAAATTTGCAACAAAAAAAAAAGAAAGAAAATTGAAAAAAGTTTAATTTCACCAAAAAAAAAAATCAAGCAGAAAAAAAGCTGAATTTAGCTGAAAGAAGCTAAAAAGACACAACAACTTAAAAAAGTTGAAAGGTGCAGAAAGATGCTGAAAGAAGCTGAAATTATCACAAAGAAGCTAAAAAAAAAGCTGAACCAGAACAACAGCTGAAATGAACAGTCAAATGTTTCAAACAGCACAAAGAGGCTGTGAATAGAGCTCCGTTCATTTTCTGTGAGGAAAATATGTCCGACAAAGCTAAATGTTGTAAAAAGTCATAACTGCACACAAACCAAAAGTCTAAAAATTGTGGAATGAGTTATGTGCCGAAAAACAAACAGCAGAAAAAGGATGCGAATAGCGTGAATAATTCAGAAACATTTAGATAATACAGACGATATGATTATATAATTATATTATATAGCCATTTTTATGTTTGCAAACACCAGTAACTCCAGCACTCAGCTTTAGAAATGTACCATTATTCTTCAGGAAGTTTGAAGATCCCAGCAGAGGAAAGTTAGGAGGAGACACCAGCAGGGGGCGCTGTTCTCTTCAACAGTGACAGCTTGTAGCCTTAAGTGCACTCCCCTACAAAAATGCCATAAAGGGAAGAAGCATAATGAGAAAGGAATTTGATAATCCACAGGCCCTGCACATGTGCTGCATTAATGTGCTTCAGATTCATGTTTTCATGACAAAACAAACACAACCAGATGTGGAGCAGAATCTGACTTCACAGCTGCAGGCTCATATTCTTACTGTGCTGTCAGTTGTTTTGTCAACAGGGATGGCCGTCGAAGCATTTCCATAACGTACATATCTGTCTCGGCTTGTGGGAAAAACGGAGGGAGTTAACCTAACGGGGAGAGAAGGATATAAACTGTGTGATTTCTGTTTATTTTCTTTCCGCACTGTGATTACATCTTTGGACTTTCAGGATCTTTAGTAACTTTTTCCAGAGCCTCTCAGGTTTCTGTTTTTTTACCACCCAGCAGCATATTTTCCCTTGCCTATTTTTTCCCCCTTTCAGCGTGACGTGTGAGAGGAGTTCCTGCCCTTGTTTCTCGCAGTTTGGTTTGCAGAGGGCAGGAGAACGAGTCGTGGAAGTGGCGCTCCTCTACGCTGACTCGTCGTGGAGGTGTAAACAAGAGGAGCTGTAAGTGTTTCTGGCCCTTCTCCTTTACTGAGGGCGCAGGGAGCGAAGAGACGGAGAAGCTGAAAGAACGTGACTGTGTTGCCCATGGACAAAGGTGCATGAGAAGGTGCAGTTGAAGAGGAGGAGGAGCAGACTGAGGGGAACTCTCTCAACACGACAGGATGAGGTACCAAGGCAGGGTAAGATCTGTCCCATGATGCTCTTTGTTGTGTTTCCAGTTTCATCCTCTGAAAGGAACCGTTTGTTTCATGCTTTGTCTTGTAAAACAAAGTCAGCGTACAGGCAAAGCAGAATGAGTCACTTTTTTTTTACCCCTGCCCATGATTTGGGTTGGGTTTGGAGGATAAATGTGGGATTTTTCCACTTTAGTCTTTAGCTGCAGGAGCACAGCAGCCTGGGACAGCGTGGAGGGGCAAGCCTTATAAGGAGTGTAATGTGCATGGAGCCTGAAGCCAAGTGTTTCACCTCCTCGCTGGCTGTCACTGCAGAGCTGCACCTACAAACCTGCAGAACTCTCACATGAAGCACAGTCTGTCTGTCAGAGGAGCTCTGCTGCAACAGGCAGCCTAAGGCCCGTCTCTCACAACATGGCTGCAGGTTACTTTGTTTCCTCTTTACATCTGCGGCGTGTAGCTCGTCAGCCAGCTCCACTTGAAAAAGGGTTTTCACTTTCTTTAAGGCGTCAACAAAATGTCATCTTTCAGAGCAAACAGGCTGAATATCACTCATTGCTTAAGGCGGACAGGGGATATTGTTTTGTTTGTGCCTCTTTTAGCAAAATATCTGATGGACTACTGAACAGATTTTAAGGACACTCTTAAAGTAATTATTACATCTACACCTTGTTAAAGCTTGGAGCCGAACCCATTCAAGATGGCTGCCACAGCTGACCTTAGGAAACACAAAAATGGCTTGGATTTAGCCATTATTACAGTTATTGAGCTAACATTTAGCATAGACATAGCTTATAGTAAGCCTTAGTCTATACTCCAAATATTAAATGATTACACAATATCTGTTAAGAAAGCGTTGCTATTATCTATTACAGTCACCTCTGTCCATCTGTTAGTAAAATCTCTTGTATTCAGCAGATGTGCATCAACAACTAATTAACTTGTGAAATCAACCTGATTCAAGGAGGCTGCAGCAGCTAACTGACCTTAGTAAACACAACAAATGGCTACAACTCAGTCAGTTTTACAGACGCTGAGCTGAAGTCGGGTGTGGTAGTAGCTGAGAGTCATGCTCGATACATGCTCTGTGCTAACGTCTCGTGATATCTTGCATGAGATTACACATAATGTTGTTTTGATCAAAATGGCTACAACTCTGACTTTCCTCAAACTGAGATGATCTTACTTCTTATTGACCTTATTTATTATTTAAGGATGCTATTTAACCAGCCGTGTTTTTTTTTTTTTAATAATTATGGCCTTGTACTTTTTATTATTTCATTTTCTGCTACCATAAACAGATGATTTTCTGCAGGGTTTGACTTAACTCTTCTGTCGTGGAGCTCCATTCAGCACAAGCACAGGTGATTTAAACAGTCAGCACATTTGCTTCAAATGTAAAACAAATTACCTTAATTTCCAGACTATAAGCCGCTACTTTTTTCCACATGCTTTGAACACCGTGGCTTATACAATGCTGTGACTAATTTATGGATTTTTATTTTTTTTTGGATGGGCTAACAAGCTTCATGCCACCATAACACTTAGCTGCGTCACACCCAGGCGCTCTCATAGCTGCGCAATACACGTCTCTCTTGTAGGGATAGTGGTCAATTACTTCCTGTTAGACTACTGTATTTTTTTTTATCAGTTGTGTTACAGGCACTGTTCTGAAAAAACCCCAAAAACATTTACTGTATTTGTGCGTGTTACCGGTACGTATCTAATTTTAAGTTAAAAAAATTAAAAATTGTGTAAATATCTCATGGTACAATGTGAACACCTGCGTCTTATAGACAAGTGCGGCGTATTTATGTCAAATTTAAATTTTCTTTTTAAACTTAGCAGGTGCGGCTTATATTCAGGTGCACTCAAAAGTTCAGAAATTACCATATGTAACACTGACTGATACCACTGTCTTTAAATGTCTCATTTCAAGTATGCAAATATTTTTAACTGCTGGCTTCCATTCCAACTTCCATGTTGCAGTGTGACTTCATCCAGGCACAAGAAAGGTTCTTTTCAAAAATTTGGTTGACACGTCACAATCCAGGGACTTTGCATTGACTTCCATTGACTTCCATTGATTTTTCATTCAATTCTATAGCCTAACCCTGATACTTACCCCAAAATATATATATACACATATATATATATATGTGTGTATATATATATATATATATATATATATATATGTATATATATATATATATATATATATGTGGT